GGTTATACACCAAAAAAAGACCCCTTAATTTGTTACATAACCAAAAAAAAGTTATATGTAATAACCTAACTAGATTTAATTGTTAGAATGTATAACGACATAAGGAGGTTTCGGTTAGGTTTTTAGAGATACTTCTTTGTGTGGTTATACAACCCATTTTTCCTTTAATTTACTAGAATACATTTCTCCGTTGATCAAAAGAAGAAGAAGTCATTTCTTAGTTGATCAGAAAAATAAGAAGACAGTTCTCTTTAATCTTATCTAGTTTAAAATTAATAATGGAATTAAGAAAATGCAAGCTTTATTTAATATATATTTACTTTCGAAATTATATGTACGTAACTCGTGTCTCCTGCAAATCAAATGTTAATTGATCCACAGGATCACATGGTTCTCTCTAACTAAGAGAATCCCTTATTGGATACTACTATATATATAGCAACCCTACTTAATAACTTGACAAGAGAAATTAAAATTGTGACACCTTATTCTTGGGTTGACTAAACCATGAAAGTAACCGGCCAACTCCAGTCCGGTAAGCAATCATCGGATCATACGAGGAGGTCATAAGTAAAATCGGAATGGTCAACAAGATAATTTGACCAACTGGTTATGTCTCGCATCATATTCTCTTCATCAACGCCTGTTGATGAGACATCAGACATTAGGAGATCTTGATTATATCCTCCAATGTTCTCGCCTTCGATGTGACTAAATGGCTCGACAAACTGCGAAAAATCGTATTCAGGATTGTTGAGATCAATGTTCATGCCGATATCTTCCTTCATATGATCAGTTATGTATTCAGATGACTGAGAGAATGGATCAAATTGGTCCATCTGAAATTGGCTATTTTCGGGAAACTCATCATTGAGAGATGAAGACAATGTGGTAGAGCTCATCAAGGTTCCTTCCATGGATGCTGTTAAGATCTTTCCAATGGAAGAAGCCCTAGCTGCAACTTTGTTTAAGAGCTTTGATGTAGAACTAGATCTCTTAAAGCAACGTTTCTTGGAGCTCAAGGAACCATCATTTTTCGGTGTCTTCTCGCTGCTGCTTATCTCCGGTAGATTGCACGAACTTGAAGGAGGAAGAGACTTTGCAGACGTGGAATCCGATTGCGATTGCTCATCCGGGTTACTCGGGGTTGAGTCATCATCTTGGAAGTCAGAACTCTTGGGCGTGCCCGGACTAGGTTTAGAGGAAAGTGGTTTGTGGGTCACGGGATCAAGACCTTGATCAATAAGGCGTTTTTTGAGATGTGTATTCCAATAGTTCTTGATCTCGTTGTCTGTTCTTTTAGGCAAATGTCTAGCTATGACCGACCACCTTTTAAGGACAAATCAAAGAAGGGAATATATCAAACAAAATGTGGTCATGTGTTAAAACTTGTAATATATGGATTTTGACAAGAATTTTACTTGTTTCCACGGGAAGCATGAAGCATGATGATAATTTGCTCCTCCTCGTAGCTAAACTCTCCTCTCTTGATATCAGGTTTCAAATAGTTCGTCCAACGCAATCGACAACTCTTTCCACATCGTTTTAGTCCTAATCAAACACCATAACCAATTATATAAACATCAATTAAACCATATATTTAAAATATAAAACTATATATTATTTTTTTGCTAATATATACCAGCTTTTTGGGGAATGTCACGCCAACCTCCTTCGCCATGTTCATGAATGTAAGAGATGAGTTTCTTGTCTTCTTCCGCGGTCCATGCTCCTTTCTTCAGCCCTTCTCCCACACAACATGGCTTTCTTGACATTTTGTTTATATGGTTTTTATATCTATAGATTTACTACAACAACCTCTAGAAGAAGAAGGGGAAAAAAATCCAGAAATGTCGTCGAGTTTAAGGCAAGAGACCGATAGATCTGTTGAGAAGAACTCTGATGCATCTGAATATGAAACGAACTGAAAAACTATGTGTTTTCATTTTCAGGAATATTTAAAATGATGATAAAAACAAAAGTTGAAAAATATTGTATATAAAGATGTAAAACATTGCGAGACCTACTTCTCCACAATGCATTATTGAAGATGTATATGAGCCATATATATAAGCCTTCTATCTGCACTCGTGTCAGTACTCAGTAATATACTTTTCAAACCCAAGTAAAGTAAAATAAAATATTTATTTTTGATAACTAAAAATAAAACAAATTGAAATAATATAATAACAATGTAAATAAGAAAACTTTTGACAAGAAAAAATAATATTAATAAAAATGTTCTTGAAAATTATTATTTTTTCCACTCAAAAGTTCGATGTGGAATTTTCATTGATATCTCAACAGTTTATTTTACAGAAACAAAAAAAAAAAATTACTAGCCAGCATTACTTCGAAATTACTAAAACATGTGTCAATTCAACACACATCAAAGAGACTTTTTGTCAACTCGCAGGAGTTTACGGGTTTGATTGGCATAGCATTTTAAAGAATATTATGCCTTTTATCATTAAAACTTGTTTGGTTTACAGAGCATTAAATAGAATATTTAGTAACTGCAAATGCTCTAAAAATGCTCCTTCCTCAATGCTCTCAAATGGAACATTTCCAGAGCATTGATTTCTAGATATTTTTACAAAAATTAAAAATAAAATTATATAACTAACCAATTTATTTTATATTACAACAAAAACAAATTATATAAATTTTAATTATTTAAATTCATATTTATCATTATTTTATTTATTCTATTATATTAAGATAATATTATAATATAATACTAATTCAATTAAATATAATTTAAATTCGAAAAKATTATAAAARAAATTTATGTTATAMTTTATAAATATAATATATACAATCATTTCAATAAAAGTAAATATACATAATTTCTGTAATTATAAAACATATATATGTATTAATATTTATCATTTTTTATATGTTCTATTATTTTTAAAATAAATTTAATAAAAATATAACTTAAATATTAAAATTTATAATTCTTAAATAATCTTATTTGTCATATTATTTGTGAAATAGTATTATAATAAAATAAGAATTTAATTAAAAATAAAAATTGATGTTATAACTTATGACTAATATATATATATATAATATTAAAATACATATAAATAAGTAAAATAAAATAATTTATTTTAATTTTATATCTAATCATTCACAGCTCAACCAATCAGTTAAATGTGTATATTAATCAGAGCATACTGTTCTAACTGCTTGCTGCTAATGTTGCATTATGCTACTGTCCATCAAAAAACTATATCAATCAAGGTACTATATTAGACAGTTTTTTTTCAATATTTTGGAAAGAAGTGAATTAAAATCTTGTGTTCATAAATTTACAGAGATGATAATCTTATTTCCACGTACGAAATGTTTTGTGCGAATTGATATTAAATCACAAAGACAGTGCCGACTAAGAAAAAAAAATCACAAAAACAGTTATCATATCATCATTTTTATTAGCTATATCGTCG